AAAAGTTATATCTTTCGTAGAACCTCTTTGGTTTTTAAAACTGTCTGGGATGACAAAGGTCAAATTCCTCACACTGGACGATGTGTCCCATACCAATAACAGAATGTTCACATTTGGGACATGTCCTCCTGAAGGTGTTTTTCATTAAAGTCAGGAATTTATTTATTAGCCGTCAGGATCCCAGCAAGCTGATCTTTAAAAGTTATCTGGACGAGGTTCAGGCAGACGTTGGTGAGTCTGAGCGTGTGCCAGCACAGTAATAAGCTTCGTCTCTCAGGTCGCCATCATCAACGGGATGAATTACAGACATACCAGACGGGATCAGTGCATGAAACCGACCCAGGATCAGCTGATATGAAACTAAAGCTTATTGTGTCTGTCTCCATCAACTCATCCAGTCTGAAGCCACTTTGGTGACCATCAACCATAACAATTAGCAACGCTAAATCCCCTTTCTTGCATCTGGGCCATGCTGGATAATAAGGGGTTAGAGAAATCTGAATATGTTATTGGTGTGTCCAGTGTGGGAAATGTGGCTTCCTGAACATCTTTTCTAACTTTTTGAGAAAAATACTGCAATCAACAGAGACTATTATGAAGGAAAAAACATCTTAATGTAGAGGCTACATTCACACATTAGCTGTTGATGCTCCATTTCAATTTTCACTGAAATCCTAATTATTTGTGTGGTTGTTCATACTGCTAGTTATAGCTAAAGATCCGAAACCTGGGAGTAGTGATGAACTCTGACCTGAATCTTCAGAGCCACATTAAGACAGTTACAAAGTCGGGCTTCTATAACCTGCAGAACATTTCCAGGGTTAAAGGATTAATGTCTCAATTAGATCTAGAGAAACTCATCCATGTGTTTATCTTTAGTATCATTGATTACTGCATCGTTTTCACAGGGCTGCCTAAAATGTTGAAAGATGACTTGGGTACTGTTTGGTTCTGATTCCATTGGTATGTTTGCTCAAAAACAAGAGTTGACATGAATGTATCAGCCTCCTGTTTTAATGCAAGTTGCTCTTCACTCTTCTACTTTTATCTGCAGGTATTCTAGATCCAGTATTCTAGATCCTGTTCTTCTTTTAGCTGCAGATCTTCTGTTCTCATTTCACCTTTCAGAGGTTCTAACTCTTCCTCGTCCAGAATGGATCTCCTCCCCTGGTTGCCTCTCCTGAGGTCTTTAGCACCATTGCTTCCATTTTCATTTTATAGAATATGCCTTTCTAACAGCATAACTACGATGTCTGCGTTCATTTACCTGCTAACAAAACATTTATCCGGGAAAAGAGCGTTTACTAAAATGATCCTCATGCAGAAAGGTGCAAACATTTAGACCTTAACCTGCATCCAAACGCTGCTGTTTCCTACCTATTCGGTGTAAGATGATCTGGGGAGTCCGGGAGAAATCAAGCAGTCTGCGCTGATCATCCATCTCTTCCTCCGGCTGGACGATGATTTCTTTAAACTCTGAAATGCTCGTTGATGAATTCTTGTGGAAGCTCAAGACAAAATAAGTTGATCAAAGATCTTTTATAACTGTTGGCATCCATATTGTTGCATTATCGCCACCTTCTGCTTAATACAATCATCACTTCTAAACCACATGCACTTCTTCATAGATTTATTTTTTTTTCAAAAAGAAAATTCTGTTTCGATTTAACTTCAGACCATGACAAACCATGTATGTAAACCTCTGATTTCTAGTTTATCTATTATTCCAACTCAGTAAATCACATGTATCTATATCTGCTGCTACCACCACCAAGAAGAACGGGCCAAAAATCATTCAAAATGGTGTAAAACAGTCATTATTGCAAGTATTTAACAAGAGATGGCGCTACCAAACATCCAGCTGTCTAGGATAGCCCTTTAATAAATAAAATAATTGAAATACTGCATTTTTGTTTCTTTAAGTTATTTTCATTGGGTATTAAAATTGACTGCAACCATTAGGAACATTTAAGTGACAAATAAAATCCAAAACAAAACAAAAAAAAACCCGTATGGAGGTAGCCAGGTTTTCTCTATAACCCTCTGACACATTTATGCTGCCACCAACTAACATGTGATCTGTAAACAGATAAAATCAGGCAGTCAAAGAACGAGTTAAAACTGAAAAGCTTCCACAAAACTTTTTATTTGGCAATCTTTACGTAAACTATAAAAACAAGTCAATCACTACTGTAACTATTGTGATACAAATTCATGGACCTGCCTGACTGGACTACAGTTTATTAATTGATATAATTATTATTACCAGGTGTAGGACATATTGCAGGACTTACAATAGTTTTCAGTATATTTTACTTTTAGAAAGACTGATGTATATTCAGAAGGCCAGGCTAAGCTAATTTCTTGTTAATTTGAAAAGGTAAATTGTAAAATTAACACATTTAAACCATATTTTACAAAAAAAAAAAAAAAACAATCTACACAGGAATAATAAAATCTTTCTGAACATCAAGTTGAGAGATTAGCAGCTCCCTCTGCTGGAGTTTTTAATTTACTTCACCAGTCCATGGTACAGAAAAAGGGAAAGAAAATAAACAACGAAAGCACCGTGCGTCAATCATTTACATCCATTTAAAGAGATAAAAGCTTCTGCTGGGATGGACTGCTGTCATTTATTAGAAAGAAAACAAGTAATCTTAAAAAGTAATAAAATTAGAGTCAATGACCTGGAGATTCAAAGCTGGATTTTACTTTAAGGCTCTCCTGAGACCCATTGCTTTCTTTTGTAATATTGTCAAAGAAATCCAAAGAAATGATTCAAGACCTCACAGAAACAATCAGGTTCAGAATTGGGTGCAATTTCTGATGACTCGAGATGCAACATTTATCTCTTCTAACAAATCAATAGAAAATCCTTGTGAATATATTCTCATCATATTAACTACTAACACTATCCTTATGTCTGTGCTGTGTTTACAGTATGTGACCCTGTGTAGCTCAGCAGCAAACAGCTAATAAAAGGCTTGACTCTGGTCTCGTGACTTTGTGGGAAAAAGCAATGACAATTTCGACTTTTTTATTTATTAATACGTTTTTGTGGTTTTTTTTGTACTAATTTAATTCAACTTTAAGATTATAATCACTAAATACCCCATAACCAACTGATGTGGAAAAAGAACTGTGTGCTTTTTACTCAAGTATGTTTCAGGTGGCTAATTTTGTAGGTTTTTACTCATTTAAAACGTCTCCATCGCAACCATGCTTCTCATCTGTGGCTTTTCATGTGCTGAGTTAAACCATGTCGCCGACTGAAATCTTTTCCACAAGTTAAACATGAAAAAGGCTTCTCACCTGTGTGAATTGTCATGTGATCCGTTAAACTACATTTCTGATTGAAACTTTTTCCACAAGTCAGACACTGAAAAGGTTTCTCGCCTGCATGAATCATTATGTGACGACTTAAAGTACATTTTGACTGAAACATTTCCCACAGCTTGCACATGAAAAAGGCTTTTCACCTGTGTGAGTGATCATGTGCTTAGTTAAGTGCTTTCTTTGAGAAAAACTTTTCTCACAGTTCACACATGAGAATGGCTTCACCATTGTGTGACTCCTCGTGTGAACAGTCAAAGAATATTGATCAATAAAACATTCTCCACAGGTCTTACACTGAAAAGGCTTCTCACCTGTGTGCCTTCTTACGTGAATAGTCAAAGAATTTTTTGTAGTAAAATATTTGCCACAAGTCACACACAAAAAGGGCTTTTCACCTGTGTGACCCATCATGTGCATAGCTAAATGCTGCTTTACACTGAAACTCTTCCACAGGTCGCACATGAAAATGGCTTCTCCCCTGTATGAACTCTCATGTGAACAGTTAGATTATTTTGTCTACTGAAACTTCTGCCACAGTTGTCACATGAAAATGGCTTTTCGCCTGTGTGAACTCTCCTGTGAACAGTGAGTTCACTTGTGTAACTGAAACCTTTTCCACAAATAACGCATAAAAAAGGTTTGTGACCTTTGTGATCTGTCATGTTACAATTAAAGTCATCTTTTCGAATGAAACATTTCCAACACGAGAAAGGCCTCTGACGTGTGGTACTTGATGTATTTTTAGTCAAGTCACTACTTTGAGGAAGGTTTTCATGACCTTTTTGTTTTGAACAGTCAACATGCTGTTCGATTCTCTGATGCCTCTTTTGTTTCTTCTCTTCTTCTCTCTTTGCTCCAAAGTCATTAGGATTGCTCTTTTCCTGATTTTGGTTCTCAGCTTCAGCAGCTTCCTGGAAGATGACTTGGTTCCCGTTTGGTTCTGATTCAGTGTGATGTGTTTGCTCACAAACAGGAATTACCATAAAGGTGTTACTCTCCTGTTTTTGTAGTGTAACCTGTTCTTCACTCTGACTGAAAACTTTCTCTTCCACTTTTATCTGCAGATGTTCTAGATCATCTTGTTCTTCTTTTATTGGCAGATGTTCTAGATCATCTTGTTCTTCTTTTATCTGCAGATGTTCTAGATCATCTTGTTCTTCTTTTATCTGCAGATGTTCTAGATCATCTTGTTCTTCTTTTATCTGCAGATGTTCTGGCGCTTCCTGTTTCAGAGAGGAGCTCCTGTCCTGGTTACATTGCTCCTGCATATAAATGTTACGCTGTATGTGGTCTGGGGGGGAAAAAAAGAAAAATAAGTTACAAGTAAATTGGAGAAGAATGTTATTGTTTGACATGAAAATCACCAGACACTTGAAATTCAAGAGTGGAGGAAGACACATATCAAATATTTATGTCCTCTTTCTGTGTCAGTACTGTTAAGCATTCACAGTATTGAAATGTTTCTCTTTATTCTTGGTTTTTATTATTTTACATGCATTTTTTGCCTTGCTACTCCAAAAATGTTTGTTCTATTTCAACCATTCAACTTCTACAATGTTTTAGTCATTCAGGACAATACGATTCTATCTTTTGGTGTAGATCATCTTCAACAAATTATGAATTATGATGGCAAATCACTCCCAAGCTTCAAGGCTTCCACCCATCGGGAATAGGACAATACATTATAGGCTATATAATCCTGTACCCTGTACTCCTCTGACTTCCACTACAACTCGGAGCTGTGTCACATACAGAAGTATGCTGATGACACAGCCATAGTCGGATGTATCAGGGACGACGGAGAGGAGGAATATCGCTGTCTGGTGAGGGACTTTGCTCTCTGGTGCCACACAAACCACCTGGAACTCAACACCTCTAAGACGAAGGAGCTGGTTATAGACTTTGGGAGGTCCAGACCAAAGCCGAGACCAGTCGTACTAGAGGGAACGGAGGTTGAGGTCATGGGCTCCTACAAGTACCTCGGGCTGTGGCTGGACAGTAAACTGGATTGGTCAAAACACACCAGCCACCTGTACGGGAAGGTGCAGAGCAGGATGTACTTCCTGAGGAGACTGCGGTCCTTTAACATCTGCAGCAAACTGCTGTGGATGTTCTACCAGTCAGTGATCGCCAGTGTCCTCTTCTACACCGTGGTGTGCTGGGAGGCAGCACATCCAAGAAGGACACGTCCAGACTGGACAAACTGATCAGGCGTGCCGGCTCTGTGGTCGGCATGAAGCTGGACTCTCTGGTGACGGTGGCAGAGGCGAGGACACTGAACAAACTGCTGGACATCATGGACGATAGCAGCCACCCTCTACACGCCGTCATCAGCAGCCAGAGGAGCCTGTTCAGTGACAGACTGCTGCTTCCCAAGTGCCGGACCAATAGATTCAAGAACTCCTTTGTCCCCCACGCCTTCAGACTGTACAACTCCTCACTGGGGGGTCGGAGGTGACACAGGACAGAGGGAAGAAGGAGTAGTTTTTCTACAAATGTGAACTCCATATTTATCAGGCCAAACCATACAGTGCAATACCATATCACTGGTCAATCTATCCACCAAATTGCTATAATTTCCTTTTGTGTTGTATTTATATTCTTTGTTTTGTATTTAATTTGTATTTTTTTGTATTCTTTTGTGTATGCTTACTGTGTGCCACATTTTTGCCTGTGAGCTGCTGGTAACTATAATTTCCTGAGGGAGTCTTCCCCAAATCAATAAAGTCAAGTCTAAGTCTCTAAGTCTAAATGTGTGCCCTCCCTGAAGGGAAATGTGATCAGCTTCATTTTGTGTGTGTGACTGTCAGCCCAGTCTGATGTGATATGGTTATGTAATCATGTAGAAATGATAAAAGAGACAAAGGAAAAACACAGAATCCACAACAAAACACTTCATTTAAAAAATAAAAAATAAAATAAAAATCAGTTTACAACATTCATTGTCGCAGGAAATGCATTTTTTCTAGTTTTTTATTTTATTTTTTACATGATATGAATGATTTATTTTGTATTTATTACTGATTCTAGCATTTTAATACTGCTATACTATTCATGCATAGTTTATTCCATCCGTTTTCAAATGCGAGTCTGCAAAGCAATGAAAAAAAGAAAAATAAAGCAGAGCTGAGGTTTTAGCTGAGCTCCACTGCCTCCATTTTCTTTCCCCCAAAATAAACAGTTTAATCAGGACAACTGTGATGTCTGCGTTCATTTACCTGCTAACAAAACATTTATCCGGGAAAAGAGCGTTTACTAAAATGATCCTCATGCAGAAAGGTGCAGACATTTAGACCTTAACCTGCATCCAAACGCTGCTGTTTCCTACCTATTCGGTGTAAGATGATCTGGGGAGTCCGGGAGAAATCAAGCAGTCTGCGCTGATCATCCATCTCTTCCTCCGACTGGACGATGATTTCTTTAAACTCTGTCAATGTTTCTTCAGAGGGAAATATTAAACACACGGAATGCATTTTTTCGCCCCCGCAGAAAACAACAGATCGTGGACCGTCTTCTTCTTTTATGAATGCTGGTATCTACATTGTTTCTTTATCGCCGCCTGCTGGATCATAACATCATCACGTCTAAAAAAATATTTTTAGACGTATTTTTCTTTTCAACTTCATCGAAATAAAACAAATACATTTAAACCTCAGCTCTCTAGTTTATTTACATCCATGATTCATGTTATCCACTTGACTCATATTTCCATAAAAGTAGCAGTGAAAGAAAAATCTAATTCTAGATAATTATCTATTATTCGCCCGTTCTTTACTCCTTGTAAACTTATTAATGTAAAATCTATATGCTATCATTTTGATGCATTATCCATCTATCTGCTGCTGCTTTGTCTTCTCTAAACATATATATAATTTTACCTGCAGATTTGAGCACAGCTTTATAGCCACATTTTTAGTTTTATAGCTTCATTTTTATTTGTTTAAGTCAATAAAATTATGCTCTATTTTAACTGCAGACAGCGAGAAAAAAGGTGCATGTGTGAAGCAAAAATTGACCCCAAATGTGTTCAGTAAAGTGGCTTTCCTGTCCATTGCTGCTGTTTGCAGATCTCGCTTGTGCTTCAGATTTACAGTCGTACCAGAAACACAACACAAAGTTTTGGATCTGGACTTTTGTGTTTTGATGTTGACCAATAGGAGAGATGCTGACTTATACCTGGTGAGACACACCCCTGCGTGTGACCACAGCAGATGTGAGGCAGACCCTCCAGGAAATCAGCCCTGTAAGGCTGTGAGCTCCAACAACAGTCCTGAGGAGCTTCTATCACCGTGTGGCGGAGAGCATTCTCGAAACCTGCATCACCACGTGGCACGACAGCTGCACTGACGCTGAGAGGACGGCTCTGCAGATGATGGTAAAAGCTGCACAGTGGACACACATCCCAATGCAGGAGGACGGCGCTCCACAAAACGAAGGACTCCACCCATCCTGCACATTAACTGTTCCAGAGCATCCAGAACTAAGACCACCAGGCTAAGAAACAGATTGTACCCTTCAGTCATCAGACTGCTGAACTGGAGCTGTACTTAATTCAGCCTCATCTCACATTTCAAACTATTCACACACACACTTTTACTATTATATTTCTTAATCAGGGATCTGAGTCTGAATTTCATAAATAAACAAAATGGTATGACAATAAAATAAATCTTTGAATCAGTTCAGAGTGCAACAAATTTTGGAGACATTGCTACAATGAATCCCCATGGCAACATGTACGTTTAACTTAAGACATTTGGCCCCAAAGTGCTTCAGTCAGTGAGGGAAATGCAGCTTTCAGTTCACTTTTAAAAGTCACTCAAACAATGATTAATAAAAAGAGCTCTGGGAGGTTATGACATCACAACAATGATGTCTCAAACATTGGCTGATGATGTCACCAAGAGCATCCTTTGATGTCGTAGCCTTAAAGCGCAATGAGTCCTCAGAATTCTCTCCATTTGGCTTTTGGCCTGGACACTGTAGGATCTACATTTTGTTTTGCTCTGACATTTTTGGCTTTTCCCCCACGAAAATGTATAAAGTTGAGAAGGAGAAGGCAGCGGTCGCCATGTTTGATGCTGAAAAAGTCCGCCGAAAGAACAGGAGGGCGCTCCAGAAGCTCGTGAAAGTCAACACAGAACTGGAGAACGCGACAGACCGCAGGAAACGTTATCAAAATCGGAAAAGACTGGAGAGAGACGAGATTGAGTTTTTCAAAGAATGCGAAAGACGGCTCTTTAAGCTGAATTTGGAATCTGACATCTGGATTGACGAGAAAGACAGACTGGACAATCTGTGCAAAAGGAGAGATGTGCTTTTTAATGTAATGAAAGACATGATCGAACAACTACTTGAGACACCTGTGATGGTATCTTTGAAAATTGCCGCGCAACAGCAGCAGGAACGGCTGACGTTTCTTAACAAGGAGTTAAAAAAAAATGTCGCCATCTTGTCACGACAACTTGTACAACAAACTAAACTATTTGATGAGTTCACAGAGAAGGAAAGGGAAACCGGGGAGATGATGGACATTCAAGAGGAGTACTTTAAAGACGTCAGGCAGAAATTAAAAGTGTACAACTTGGATGGTGTGAAGGAGAAAGTAGCGGCGCAACAGGAAGAAATGAAAGCAGAAGTAAAAAAGAACGAGGATCTAGTGAAGCAAATAAAGACGTTGAAACAACAAGCGATCAATGTGCCCATGTTGAAATATCAGTTTCTCTGTGGAGTCGATGAGAAACGAAGGCTCACAGCCCTCATCAAAGAGCTAGACACTGTGATTCTGGTCTTAACAGACAGACTTTCGGATCAAACTGCCTGGGAGGTTACTTACAAAGAGATGGAGCAGAAGATCAGAGAGCTGGAGCAGGCTAAAAATGAACAACTGAAGAAGATTCATGAGTTGATACCAAAAGAAAAATTTGGGACCAAAGCAGTGCTTTCCTCATTTTCAAAAACTCAAAAGAACAAACAGAAGCTGACCAAACGCTTGAATTATTTCAAGGCTAAAATCAATAATCTCCTGAAGGAATACAAGGCCTTTCAACCAGAAATTGAGAAATTTCTGGGAGACATTAAACCTCTTTATGATGCAGTGACATTAGATACTCCAGCAGCGGACTTGTATTCAATAAGGAACATCACTAAAATCAGGAAACCAGAAAAATTTTCAGAGTCGTCTTCAAGTGGTGTAGATCATCAGCAAAGCTCAAGTTCCGGCTCAATAGAATCCGACCATGAACGTCCAAAACCCAAAACTAGCCCTAGACTCACACCTGAACCAAGACCATTCCTACATCATTCAGAGAGTGAGTTAACAGATTCCCCCCAAAGAAAAGACAGCTTCTACCTCGCAGAAGAGGACTTTTCTGAAAGCAAAACAACTTCAACTACAGATGATTCAACAGATTACCAAGGAAAAAGCGACAATCGGTCGAAGAAAAGTCCGAGGTCAGATATTTATGAGGGCAAATGTAAACAAACAGCACATTCTGACAGTAAGAAGGACGGCGTAAAAGGCGGAAAGACACCATGGTGGAAGACCTTTTAATGGAGGGAGAAGGATGGATAGGGGGATGGGTAGACAGAAGGATGGAGGGATGGACGGATAGAGGGATGGACGGATAGAGGGATAGGTAGACTTCCTAACTTAGGTTCTCTCCGGGTGCTCCGGTTTCACAATACCATACAAAAGCATCCACCGCCTTAATTGGTCTCTCTAAATTGACCCCCCTTCCCCCCATGTGTGTGTGTGTGTCTGCGTGCCTGTGTGTGTGTGTCTGCGTGTGTGTGTGTGTGTGGTGTGTGTGTGTGGGGGTGTGTGTGCGTGTGTGTGTGTGTATGTGGGGGGTGTGTGTGCGTGTGTGTATGTGTGTATGTGTGTGCGTGTGGGGGGGTGTGTGTGCGTGTGTGTGTGTGTGGGTGTGTGCGTGTGGGTGTGTGTGGGCGTGTGTGTGTGTGTGTGTGTGTGTGTGTGTGTGTGTGTGTGTGTGTGTGTGTGTGCTTGGTTGTTTGTCTTGTGTGTTTTTGTGCTACCTTTCTAAAATTTTTTAGCTTCTCTCCGGGTGCTCCGGCTTGCCTCTTTCGAGGGAAAAGCCTCCAAACCTTTATTTAGAGCTGTGTGATGTGTTTATAAATTAATACTTACATATTCACTCATATTCACTCTAAACATTACAACATAATATAACATACAATGTTGATTGTCAAAATATCTTTTGATCTCTTCTCAGTTTTCCAGGGCCTCCTACCCTCAGACTGATCTTCATCTCTCTGTCATATATACAGTATATATATAAATATATATGAATAAAAATCATATATAGACATAGAATATATATAGTATATATGAATATATATATATATATGAATAAAAATCATATATAAACATAGAATATATATAGTATATATGAATATATATATATATGAATAAAAAATCATATATAGACATAGAATATATATAGTATATATAATATATATATATGAATAAAAATCATATATAAACATAGAATATATATAGTATATATGAATATATATATATATATATGAATAAAAATCATATATAGACATAGAATATATATAGTATATATGACGATATATTAAAAAAAAAAAAAAAAAATTCCCTTCTCACCCACGCGCGGGTGGTTCTATCCTCTGAGCTCGGGTCCTCTACCAGAGGCCTGGGAGCTTGAGGGTTCTGCGCAGTATCTTGGCTGTGCCAAGGACTGCACATTTCTGGACTGAGATGTCTGATGTTGTTCTGGGATCTGTTGTAGCCACTGCTCCAGTTTGGGGGTTACTGCCCCGAGGGCCCGATGACCACAGGCACCACTGTGGTCTTCACCTTCCAGGCCCTCTCCAGTTCCTCCCTGAGCCCTGGTATTTCTCTAGTTTCTCGTGCTCCTTTTTCCTGATGTTGCAATCACTTGGTATTGCTACATCTACCACAACGGCTTTCCTCTGATGTTTATCCACTACGACAATGTCTGGTTGGTTCGCCATTACCATTCTGTCTGTCTGGATCTGGAAGTCCCACAGGATCTTAGCTCTGGCGTTCTCCACCACCTTTGGGGGTGTTTCCCACTTTGATCTCGGGGTTTCCAGTCCATCTTCTGCACAGATGTTTCTGTACACAATGCCTGCCATATATATATGTATATATATATCTACAGTTAGGGCCAGAAATATTTGGACAGTGACACAGGTTTTGTTATTTTAGCTGTTGACAAAAATATGTTCAGAAATACAATTTATATATAATATGGGCTGAAAGTGCACACTCCCAGCTGCAATATGAGAGTTTCCACATCCAAATCGAAAAGGGTTTAGGAATCATAGCTCTGTTAATGCAGAGCCTCCTCTTTTTCAAGGGACCAAAAGTAATTGGACAATGGACTCCAAAGGCTGCAAGTAACTCAAAAGGCCTTTCCCTCGTTAACCTGTAATCAAGTAGTAGTTAAAAGGTCTGGGGTTGTTTCCAGGTGTGTGGTTTTGCATT